ATAAGCATGAGAAAACTGAATAAATCCTAAATGATTCGCAAAACTATTGAAGCGAACGAACGCAAGGAAGAACACGCGGTTTTCTGAACTTCCGAAAAAGATAGCGTTTCTCAATGGCAAGTGCCAAGTAGCTTATTTTGAACGATAAACAATTTATCCACAATTCAATAACTAGAGTTGTAAAACTACTTCCTGATAGCAATGAACATCAAGGTTGCATCCAATGTAGACATTATGTGCACAATTCGCGGAGTGCGAGCACGAATGAGCCATGATTTCCATGAAAAGATTCACCACACCGTTCTTGTGCGATCAAAATTAGAGATAAGCAAGAACATGTAAGACCCATTCATTTTTCACCTGCTCATCCATTCACCTATCTCCACGGTGCAATACCTATATTCCAGGCAGAGCCAATCAAATATAGATTTCTAATCGAGCGGATTAGATTTACAATTAACCAGTGGATGACGTCGAAAAGTAGAACACGTGTGAGCATAAGGTGAAAATTCGTGTGTGATATTCACAAAAATTTACCCGACTACCTCTCCACTGGCATTCTAATTTGCTCAGCCGCGGCGCATTTGTAGGGCTCATTAATCCGATATTTGCACAAGTACCCAATAATTAACCATAGACCACATCTACAGAAACAGGCAACACGCATTAAAAGAGATTATAAATGATTTATACCCTCTAAGTTCATCAGCTCAATTGTCTGGATAGTAAATTTAAACAATTATCGTCGCGGTTTCTCAATACGAGGATTTTTCAAACTTTGTTCCCCTCTCCAGCAGCAGTTCCATTGGACAGCGGATAACACGTTTAGTCTTCTAATATGGCGTACTTTTCGACCTCTTGCGCTTGTTCCCGTCTTTATAAACGTCCATTACAAACAGACTCATTCGTAAACTTGCGTAGGTATTCATGTATGGACATTTCATTCCGCTGTAAAGAAAACTGAAATGCACGCGCCTTCGCTAATGGTGTAGCAATGATACTATTAATGCTAATGCAGAGAGTAAATCCGGGTTGCGTCTCGTGAATAGTGAGATCTGCTGCGGAATTTGTGGTGACACAATTGCTCGGATTTGAGCAACGGTCAATCAATATCCTGGAACGTTCAGGTAGACGCATTCAAAGAAAAGGTGGTTATTTATTCTTCGTAAACAAGGTGCATATCAAATGTTTGCTAGCCTGTGCAATAATTTGTATCTGTTTGCTTGGCGTTTTCCACTAGATATTCCCGCAACGAAGACCTTCTTCTTTTCACCTGGTGCCTTCGCGAAGAAAGCAATGATAATTCCGTGGCCACAGCCGCTTGAGGGGGGTGGCTTAACAGCCTTTCTGCAGAATATTCATGAGGATCCGGAGGCCGCTCAACTGGATACCGATCACGGTAACTTGGCGGCACTAAAAACCTTCTACAGTGACCGGGCGGATTTGAATGTGTATGTGGCCAGATAGGCCCCTCGGAAAATGGACGAGGCCGCCTCCATGGAAGCCTTCGTAGCGCTGTTTGACGAGCCAGCCGCCTGTGGCCTGAGGCTATGAGATATTTCGAGGCGTCCATAGTGACACTGGGTTTGACTCAACCATTTTCTTCGCCAGGATTGTCGCTTTGCGTGGAGGCGTTGGTTCATCTCGTACGGGAATGGGCCGAGATACCGCTGAATACTTTCCAGTCGCAGTAGAGCAAGGATTGTTTAACAGTGAACGTACTGTAGACCAGATTAGACCAAGTCGTGGAAAAGCCTGGCAGCCATAAAGACGAAAAGGCCATTGGGCACTCGAAGGAGCCAGTGAGCCAAATGTGCCAGACGTGGCCATCGGAAGCTTCAATGCTCCGTACGCGAACACCTATACATCATATGAACTTAGAGTTCTTCACTTTCCCGGAGGAGGTGCCACTAGCCCGTTGACACACGCTATGATCCAAGTCATTTTCGAGATAGATGGAAAGAGAGTTGTGCTTGATTGATACATGGCAAGGATGTCGCTGAGTCCGATGCTAAATGCAGGCTGTGCGCACTAACCTTGAGAGAAGTGGGTGGAGAGCGAATAAAGATTGACGGATTGCCAAAGTTCACAATACTCCCAGGCGACAAGTCCGTGCAACACACGTTAACAAATTGTCCAGATATAGAGCAAACCATATTGGGGGCAGATTTTTTCAAGGTCATAGATTCTTTGGTTGTGCTAAACCAAAGAGACCTGGCGACAAGTTATGGTTCGATGAAGCTCGAAGGTTATGCAAGCACTGCCGTGATTGTGGTGTATGTCCGAAAGCTTCCACCTTGTACCGCACGTAAGTACGGCCCGTGGTCGAGTAATATTACATATTGTTCACGGGCTATGAGGATCCGTTTGGTTTCGACCGTGAAGTAACCACGAAATTACTCTGTGGTCAGAAAGCTTTCGACCCTACGATCGCGGTGCGCTGATGCTCCATCTAAGTTAGAACGTCCACAAACATGTCCAAGACATGTTGAAGCATGGAATGCTGCGGGAAACTCCCAGTTCGGCGCTTAAGGAAGACGAACAGAAAATACATGTTCTGGATGTATTTCAGCCGCCTGAATGTACCGACCATAAATAGGGTTGTAGCTGTGTCTTCCTTTGCGGTGATTTTCGATTCCCTCCTGCATTCTCCATATATCGAATTGCGTTCCAGATACTGACAATTAACTATCAAGGCAGAGGATCGGGGTAAGTCGGAGTTTACGATTTGGGATATACATTTTCAACTTAAACGAACGCCGTTTGGTTTGCCTTGGGACCCATTCACATTACGACGTATAACGCTTGCTTCAACAAGTTGACCTTAGAAGTTTGCCGTGTATGCAACCAGAACCAGAGCACGTATTTCTCTGTGGGCTGGACTGATACGGGCGCAGCAAGCTGGCGGATAAATGAAGCCAAGAGACAACTCGCTTGGAGTTCCGTATTACCACCGGGGAATGAAGTGGGTGTCGGACGAGTTATTTAACTGCCATGTTTGCTGCTCCGCTGACTTTCACAATACCCAGTCCTGGAGTGGTCCTCACTGTTCCTACAGTCGCTAGTCATCGTGGTATCGGCGCATTCCTAAAGCAGAGGAACAAAGTTATCAAATATGACGGTCGTATCCTAACTGAGGCTTAACAACAATACGCAGCCATTGAGAAATTACGCTTAGCGAACGTCTGGACCCTGGATAGTGCAGGTCATATCTGACCAGGAAAATGTTACATGCCGGAAACGATCGCAAACCCCTGGAGTGGATCAGAGCCTTAAGAGATCGAGGTTTCGAGAATGCGACCTCACAAACCAGAACCTGGAATGGAAGCGGAACCATTTGGCGGATTGGCTGTCGAGACTTGGAGCTGGTGAACCTCCGACTGCGTCTGAATGAGGTTGGCATAATTACTTGGAATGCTATTGATTCGGAATTTGTGATATCCTGTGATACATCGCGTGGTGAGATGTAAGCTTATCGTCGAGACCATGAATTGACGCATACGGGGTGCGCCAAAGCCGCTTTCCGCAAACAAGCAGCGGGAATCAATATATCGTAACAACGAAAGAACGCCTCTCGCGGCGAATCGATGAAGCAGCCGTGTGTAAGCATTTGGCGACGGCGATTAACTAAGTGGTAACGAATCATATCAAGGCCAAATGTGGTATGCGGAAAATTATCTCACCCAATCAGAAACCCGACCTGAAGCGTTTTGACCAGCTGTTTTGCGTGGTCACACACTCCTTTCAACTCGAAAGCGAAGGGGATAACGAAACACGTCACGCCACCTATCGGAATCATAAGTGTCATGCGTTCCCCAATGAAGTAAGATATTTCGACTGAGCTCACTCTTGCACGATGTATTCTCACCACACATACGGTCCCATCTAGTACGGCCTGAATAAACTAGCGTCCGGTCACCCACTTTATCCATTATTTGATTCCCTACTCGAGACTTTAGAATTCTAACTTCGTTGATTAATGCGATGCTGCTGAATTCACTTGAGATTAGTGAGCCAGGCGGATATTCATTGAATGCTATGTTTTCAAATGATGTATATCAAGGTTTACTTGCGAACGGTAGAAAACAAGGTTTGCATTCCACATTTTTGAAGAGCGCAAAATTTGTTGAACTGCGAAGTTTGTGCTGCATTTGATGAACCAGACTTCAATACGATACTACGTGAGCTGTTTGCGAACGACAAATGCGATGCACGTATGAGAGCACGCGCATACGTGTTCAGCATGATATTTGTGTTCATACTGTGCGTTCTAGTGGACGGCGTATGTTTTTTTTAATTTTCATGAAACCTATAGTATTAAGTCGAATTTCAACTTTGGCTACTAAATAGGTATCTCAAAATATGTTTTTCATTTCCAGTATACTGAAAAAGTCTGTGGTTTTATTTTTCATTCCGCTAAGACTAACAACAATCACGCGCAGTGTGGATGATAAGTAGGACCGCAATTTGTGATATTCCAGCGTGGCTATATGCACACGTTACATTCTGACCAGCATGCACGTTGGGAGGACATTGACCGTTTTCCGGAAGCTTGTATGTGACAGGTGAAGCTGTTACACATCACAATAGCAGAATGCTTTGCACGGATAGTCCATTTTCGCAATCCGTGTTGTGCGTCCTAATAAAGCCAGCAGGGTTTCAAGACATTCGACCTTGTATCCGGCAAATAGCGCACCTAACCTTCCGACCATGACGGCTAAATAAACTCACCAATGGACTAGGCAATGAACGCTCTTTATTTCCTGAAACTACCGAAAATACTGAGTCGCACGTGGTAAGAATCCATACGATGAGTGTAATTTAAATATAAAATGTGCTCAACTACGCAACAATTCAACACCTGATCACGTGATTTTGTTCCTGTGCCTTAATTGCCAGTGATGCTATATCCTGTCTTCGCACTGCTCACCGGCCGCTCGTATTCTGGTTCCCACATTTTGACCTGCTTGAAAGGAGGTTGCCTAATCGCGTGACAGACGGTGACAATGGTTTCCCTTCAAAATAATCCCATTCCACAGTGCCCCTTGGCTTCTACCCATAGATCGGACGAAGTCCTTCATGCGACATGCTAGATCATCAGCCACTCGAAATAAGTCATGCGGTGGGTCACCCAATTGTATGCTTCAAAGGAATTTTTCAACCTCGTCTAAAAAGTGAATGCATGCGCCTACATTCGAGGCTCTGAAACACTCCGCAACAAAAGGTCCGGATCAACGTTTAATTTCTTCGGGTTTTCCTCTAATGTTCCGGGTTTCGAAGATATCAAGACAGTTTCAAACGCCCCCAGGTTAGAGAAGCCTACAGAAAAAAATGTAAGGTCAGTTGCCCGACGGCATATTACGCAGACGGCTGAGTTGTAGTGGTGTATGAATAAAATACATATAATATCATTTTCGGGTTTTTTAGTGTCGGCTATCGGCTATCAAAAAACAAAAAATGCACTGATTGACCACCAATGCTTTTTCCGGCATTTCCTGCTGGTGCATTTTGCTTTTCCCTCTCACTAACTTCAGAACGCCGTCACTGACCTGCTGAGGCTTTTTGTTGTTTAAGTCAGGGTGGCCAAGCGGTTATTGATGAAGTGCTAAGGTCATAATCATGTGAATAAACTATTTCAACTGATGTTTCGAAATGGAGCATCCGCGAGATTTATAATTTTGCCAAATTCACTGCATGCAGAGCCATCTTTGGAATTGCTTATTATAGACTGGGTTGCCAGGAAAGAAATGCTAGTGGATTACTACATGCTGATGTCGATCACCTGCGCTTGTCGGCAATGCCAACTTGTGAGGCTGTCATTTGTTTACTTCGGCCTGCTGGATAGTTAGAATCTCAACTTTCGAAAACGCACTGGGGGAGCATATGTAATCTGAGCTGAGCGAACGTAATATGCCCGATTAGTGTCTGATTGTTTTCCAGAACTTTGGCTGGTGAATTTCGGAACACACATTTTGTTGAAGTGATGATGTGTCGTGTTATATTCGAACCGTATCCAAACCATTAGTTCCGAAGGCACAGTGATGTATTATAAACGACGTGTGCATAAACTTCTCATTTTAAATCGCGCTGTGATGCTTCCAGGCGGTACCCCTGGGTGCTGGTAAGAATCCATGGAGTGAGATATTGTGCGGATTCCATTGTGTACGAATAATGTGTGGGAGAAAGTAGGCCTAGTCAAGTAACCCTTTGACAGATATTGCGATTATGTACCCTTCGGGGAATTCATCAAACCTTTTGAGATGCCTCATGATGGATTATCCGGCGGGCGTTTCGCAGAAACAACTAAATCGAAAAGCCAATAGAACAAACCTATAATGTAACTTTTGTATTTGTATCAAGTGCAAACGGTAGATGCACTTTCGCTTCGGATAGTCGGATTTGTAACATCTATTATTTAAGAGACTTGCCCACTGCATTCGTATGGCACGCGATATTCGGTATTACACTGCATATTAGAGGAGTGCAATGAGCTACAAAGACCACCGCAGTGATTTGAATCAATAATTAGACAATGTAATATCTCATCAACGCAGTAGTTAGGGATTACTGATGCCTACACAGGGACCAGGGTATAAGACGGATGCAAGTCAGCCGAGAAGTTTCGATCCAAAATTCTGCTGAACAATATCAAAACAAATGTACCGGTAATTCCAACGTGAATAACAATTGAGTTTCCCCCTTACTTGTATTTTAAAGGCAAGTGAGCAAACCGTAATAACTGACAGAATACTACACATTGGACAAAGCAATTTCAAACAAAATCAGGGAAGCTTGTGAGAATCCTGAAAAACAAGCCACTTAACAGCGCAGTCATGCGGAAAACTAGGTTACAGTGCGGGGACACTCATAATTTTGTTTGCAATGTTTCTTCGAAAATTGAAAGTAAGTGAATATAAAAGTCACAAATAACCAACCACTGTCCACCGAAGCCTATCTGTTGCACACAAGCAACTAAGATGATAATAAAAAAATTGGTATCCCAAATTTGACTAGGTAGTCTCGTTTTACCTGGAGTTGTCATCATGTTCCGATCCTTCAAAATTATACTGTAGGTTGCATTTATTTCAAGTTCCAAACCGGAGTTAATTGCTACGTGTGTACCACAGAAAGCTGATGGCCTAGTTAACGATTGAAAAATATTTATGCAAATCAGGTCGCTAAGAACACAATTAGCATAATTGTTTTTTTTTGGTCGGGCAGAAATGTTGTTCTGATCCTTGAACTTGGAGGAATATTTGAAAATTGGACTCTGGTATTAATGGAATAGAATATGTTTGGATCTTTGAGGTTAGCATTGATTCTGCCGTCCAAATAATATAATCAAATCGGAATAGTAGGAAGTTTGGTCATTCAAGCATTGTCCCATATTCTGCATGCAATATATTGAGCAAAGTGTCTTTTTATTGATAGAGCCGTCGGTCCGTTCGGTACGGTAAATAAGGCGATCTATTAGTCATCTGCTCCGTGCGAGTTAAAATCGATAGAACTTCACATTTATGAACGGCAATCCCGTGAATCTAACCATTGGGCATAATCCTAATCCAGATCTTAGAAGCTAGGTTTTTTCAAATGGGTCGCGCCTTACACACTGGATGCTCGGTAGTGTCAGAGGATTTTTAAACGGACGTTTCGTCCAGGAAGTGCAAGCGACTTGTGATGAAAAATCAACACTCACTATACTGCTGCCCCTTTCATATTGGAAAACACCACCAGTAAGCACCGGACGAAAGTTCATCAAAATTTGAAACTGCGTTGCAAAATGAAGTTGAGGTTTTTTCACTTCAAATTAAAGAAGAGCTGAGTAAGCGATGATTAAGCCGGATATGGATTAGATGTTGCCCTACATGAAGTGAATCATCTACGTGTGGTTGGCCCGGTACCAAGGGCAAATATAGGAGACGAGTATTATAATGTGGACTAAGAGAGAATCTAGGAGAGCATAGGATGCACATGATATATATTTTCCAACAAAACAAATTACTGAAACAAGTTTGCTCAGTTCGCATAAGAGCTCAGGATGATTTGGCGGACCGAACGGTGAGCTGAAGATATTTTTTACTGCAAAGATTGTCAAATATGTTGTAGCAAAGTATGAACTTTTTGCAAGTGCTTTCGCCAAAATTTGACCTATCCATTTATGTGACACCCACTGTAGTTGGGTTCAAAGGGGGCTGCATTTTCCGTGTTTATTCAAACCACACACCTGAGGGTTTTTATGGAATATGCAAGTGGGTTTCATTAGCTATGAGACGTTCCGTCCTGGAAGTGCAGCCGACCTGTGATGAAAAACAAACACTCACAATGTAGCTGCCGCTTTCATATTGCAAATCACCACCAGTAAGCACCTCACGAAATTCCATGAAGATTTGTAGCAGCGCTAGGTGTAGTTGAGGGTTTCATCACTTCAAATCGAAGAGGACCCAAGTAACCGACGATAAGGCCGGTTATGAATAAAATGTTTCCCCACTTAAAGTGCATCAGTTGCGTGTGCCCATTACAAAGGAAAAATATAGGGGACGAGTATTATAGTGTGGACTGAGAGGGCCTCTAGGATAGCCTAGGATTCACATGATACATAGTTTCTAACAAAACACATCACTGGAATAAGGGTGTCCAGTTCCTGAAGGAGCTGAGGATGATTTGGCGGACTAAAGGGTGAGCTGAATAACTTTTTCGCGGAAAGATTGTCCAATATGTTGTAGCAAAGTACCAAGGTTGCGCAAAGCCATTCATCAAAATTTGGCGTATACATTTGTGTGACGCCCAATGTAGTTGGGTTCAAACGGGACTCCGTTTACCGTGTTTATTTAAACCCCCTTACCTGAAGATTTTTATGGAATATGCAAGTATGGTTCACAAATTACGTGATACCTGGTACGTTTAAAAAACAACTCAGCCGTACAGCGCTTTCATTATAATCAAATGGGACAATAATTCACGTTCTTTTCCCGATTTCCCTCACTAAATAAATTATAATTGTGATTAAATTATGTCACTTTGGAAGAAGTCTGGAATCAAATGTTATTGCTTGTAAACGTTAACGCAGACTATGTTTATATTCACTTAGCTTGAAGATGATACCTAATATACTAAGTTAGTTTATAGATCAGGTTAACCAATCACGTTTGAATTTTTCAAAACTGCGCGGAGTTTTGTAAGCAAATGACTTTGGCCTCGCCATTTTCATGCCCCTTAGTTGTACCGTTTCCAGCTGGAGCGAATGTGGTGCGCCAATATTTAAGAATGTTACTTAGGACTTAGTTAGCGCTTCATGCATGTCAGGATAGGAGCAATGCTAAAACCTACAATCAGGTGTAAATACAGAAGATGACTTGAGGGGTAGATGGAATAATTTTGAATTTGCTGTGTTTTGCGCTTTAGATCGTCGGTCCAAGCGATCCTGCTCAGTTATCCTGTTGCTATTTGTCGTGGTGCATGTGAACCGAGTGAACAAGATGCCTCGTCGCTGGTGGATCCGATTGAAACAATCACCGGTTCAACACCCGAAATAGTTTTTTCCCTTACGCGCGTTTTGTGTGTCCGCGCAAAGCTTCTTCAACCATGATCCTCAATGCCGAATTGTATATAATACAAATGATATTCACCCATACTTATATCAGGGTCAAAATGCCGCATACGTAACCCACTTGCATGCATCACTTAGCTGCATCTATCTGAAAGTTTTGAGACGAAATGTGCATGTTACATATGGCCATGCTGCGACGTTATTATGGGCGGTTGAAGCTGATATTTGACGGCCGGTCCAGGAACGCTGGTTGCGTGGATATTATGGCGTGAGCCAGTGCGTGAATCCTTACACGTAATCCTAGAATGTCCCGTTTTTCGTTAGTGGTAGCCTTGAATGCCCGCGAGGCGAAAACCAGCCGCTCTCGCGATTCATGCTGAAGACAAGTGCCGTTTAAGCTTTTATTCTTCGAAGATTGATCTAAAAGTGTCGAAATCAGGAGGAACATTTTCTACATTTTCTCGGATGAAAATAAATAGAACAAATTTGATGTTTATCTTCTAAGACAGTTTAAAATTGAGGTCATTAGTTAGTTGGTTGGTTGGTTATTTATTTATTTAGTTAATTATTTAATTAATTAGGTAAACAGGTAGGTAGTTGGGTAGACTAGTTGGTAGTTACACTTAACGCACCATTTGCACGCGGTTGTTTAGGGCTACAGGGTAGACAACAGTGTGGGTTGAAATGGTAATAGTATGAAACGCTTTAATCTAAAACTCACCTCTGCGCCCCGATTCGTTGCAGGAACATGCTTCGCAAAAACATTCGTCGGACTTTTCTTCCCAGCAACTGAATTTTTCACGTGTGTCTATGCAAGTATTTACCCCGCCCATTTCGGATAAGCAAAATACTATGCAGAAGGGTATTTGGACCAAGCATGGGTTTAACTCTCCTCAACTTACAATATCTGAAATCGGTACCTATATGAATGTGGCAGATTTCCAGTGTAGCACTCAATCCCTTCAAATTTGCTTAGAAGTGTTCCCGAAACCTCACTGCTGTAAATTATGGAATAATTAGACATACAGTCGACATATTTACCTGCCGTTAGCATTCATACTGAAATTTGCTGCTGGAAACCAAAGTGCGAAACCCAGTTGTTTGGAGCTCCGGTAAAGGGCCGATGAGAAGAATGAAATCGTTTGAGCAAAATTTAATCACCATTTTGTTCATTGATTTTGCAGAATTGCGTTTCACAAAATTTTTCAGACGAGCATTCAGGAACACAACGTCGAACATATGCACAGCTGTCTGCCTTAGTTTCCGCAATCTTAACAACGAGATGAAGTCAAATAAAACAGTATGTTTAATGTGAATCAGGCCGTGCAAAAACAATACGAATTTGAAACATACCTCACCGTATTTGCATCCACTCGCTATTGTCATATTGCATCCTATGTCCTGCTCCAGGCACTGGATACCTAGAGATTATTAGAATAGCGTAGACACGCGCAAGTTGAGTCTCACCTGAAAAACCAACAGTCGATGTAAGGAGTAATTCGCAAAATGTGCTATCATGCCCGGCTTATGGAAACCTGTTCGAAGAAAATGCATAGAATGATGGGGCTAGTGTGGATTTGTATACATCACGTTTACCGTCAGTACTGATTTTCTGACAATGGTAATTGAACAGATCTTCCACTCAATAAAGCGAAGTTGCCTGTTACCCACGCACGTGGTGCCAGTGTGTCAAGCGAACTTGTGAGCCTGATGATGATGATACCACGAGTGGTGATGGAAGGTTTGCGATCAAATGGCGTAGCTTAGCAATACTTCCACATAACCTAAGCTATGCAGTTTATTTAAAAGGAACTCAGGAAATCAATGCGCTGTTTGATTTACAACAGAGTTTAAAGACAACCGCGGCAACTATGAATTCGAATACTCCGAGGGTTGGCTAGAATGATAGCATTGTGGCATCAATTCACCTTCCGCGATATCCAAAACCGTCGTCTTGACAAATGATGTCAGCAGGGTAAATTTCCTGGTTATAATTATCACCCATCACTGACACAAGTTGCCCGGGGCTAGGAGATTTCGACTCTGCACTAGGCAGTGAAAATTAAGGCCAGCAATTTTGGGGCTAAAGGCTGATAACATGAACTTAGCTTTAACAGGAAACGCCTGAGACTGACCGCACTGTAACGTTTGCTCACACGCAATAGCCTCGGCTGGTGAGTAAACAGAATGCAGAATTCATTATTCTTATCGCCTATTTAATCAAAAGTCGCAAACGTTCAATCGGTTTGCCCCAATTTCCACGAAGCTTGCACACGTGTGAGACACAGGTTTTGATGCATGTAACATTTCTTTAGCGTTCGTCCATCAGTGACAATATCTCTGGTAATATTTTATTATTATTTTTGGTAACAGACACGCCGTGGTGTAAAACAGAAGCAGGACTGTAAATACCAGATATTTTGTGGATTTTTACGTTTTACGTTCACGAAATAATGTTTGCCACCAAAACGATTGTTCATATGTGATCTACATTCCATGTGCAGAACGAAAAGCGCCGCGAAATTGTCAAATACACATGTCCACAAACCACACAAATCCTGCCTCGGTTGCGTGAATATTTAGTGGAAAACGCCAAGAAAACGGTTGCAGACTACTGCGCAGGATATCAAATATTTGATATGCATCTTGTTTACGAAAAATAAATAAACATCTTCCCTTTGAACGCGTCTACCTGAACGTTCCAGGATATTGATTGACCGTTGCTCAAATCCGAGCAATTGTGTCACCACAAATTCCGCAGCAGATCTCACTATTCTCGAGACGCAACCCGGATTTACTCTCTGCATTAGCATTAATAGTATCATTGTTACACCATTAGCGAAGGCGCGTGCATTTCAGTTTTCTTTACAGCGGAATGAAATGTCCATACACGAATACCTACGCAACTTTACGAATGAGTCTGTTTGTAATGGACGTTTATAAAGACGGGAACAAGCGCAAGAGGTCGAAAAGTACGCCATATTAGAAGACTAAACGTGTTATCCGCTGTCCAATGGAACTGCTACTGGAGAGGGGAACAAAGTTTGAAAAATCCTCGTATTGAGAAACCGCGACGATAATTGTTTAAATTTACTATCCAGACAATTGAGCTGATGAACTTAGAGGGTATAAATCATTTATAATCTCTTATAATGCGTGTTGCCTGTTTCTGTAGATGTGGTCTATGGTTAATTATTTGGTACTTGTGCAAATATCGGATTAATGAGCCCTACAAATGCGCCGCGGCTGAGCAAATTAGAATGCCAGTGGAGAGGTAGTCGGGTAAATTTTTGTGAACATCACACACGAATTTTCACCTTATGCTCACACGTGTTCTACTTTTCGACGTCATCCACTGGTTAATTGTAAATCTAATCCGCTCGATTAGAAATCTATATTTGATTGGCTCTGCCTGGAATATAGGTATTGCACCGTGGAGATAGGTGAATGGATGAGCAGGTGAAAAATGAATGGGTCTTACATGTTCTTGCTTATCTCTAATTTTGATCGCACAAGAACGGTGTGGTGAATCTTTTCATGGAAATCATGGCTCATTCGTGCTCGCACTCCGCGAATTGTGCACATAATGTCTACATTGGATGCAACCTTGATGTTCATTGCTATCAGGAAGTAGTTTTACAACTCTAGTTATTGAATTGTGGATAAATTGTTTATCGTTCAAAATAAGCTACTTGGCACTTGCCATTGAGAAACGCTATCTTTTTCGGAAGTTCAGAAAACCGCGTGTTCTTCCTTGCGTTCGTTCGCTTCAATAGTTTTGCGAATCATTTAGGATTTATTCAGTTTTCTCATGCTTATAGCTCTTAGCCGCCTACTCCAGAACTTCAAAAGTAATTGTCCACTAAAATTCCACCAAATAACCTTACTGAATAATTATGACCCTCTTTCTTGTTGGCGAACAAGTATCTGCCGTTAATTCTTTTGGTTATTTGATCCACGCCGTGAATGCCCAATATAGAGCAAGTTGCGTGAAAAAGTTCATTTACTTTGCCCCAATAAATACATCTGGTCCGAAGTTTGAAAGGCGAGGCAGACACTGTGTTCGAGTAAAACGTAGCACCTTAAAAGTGTGGGCAGATTGAATCAGACAAGACCTACAAAAGTGAAAAGAATTAATTGTACGAGATTAACTGACAACAATCATACACGCGGTCATTCCGTGTGGCTTTGCTACAATCTAGTAACACTGATTTCGTTTCTCCAACCTGTTCCCAAAATTTAGTGCTATTTACCAATTGGTGGCTTAGAATTGAATTGATCCTCTCATAATCAATTGCTGAGAAAATATCTTTTCCAAATTACCATATGCAACCATATGCAACTTTTGTTGGGGTTTAAAACATTATTTCACGAAGGGGAGACTTAAAAATTGACCAAATATCTGGTGAGTTCATCCTTGCTTCTCACTTACAATATGGTGTGTATGTGACCAAAATAATTATCACTTGTCGACGCACTCCAGTTTTGGGTAATATGCATCAAAACCTCTCTCTCACACGTGTGTAGGCGTTGTGTTAATTGGGGCAAACAAATTGACTGTTCGCATGCTTTGATTAAATTTGTCGATAGTAATAATGAATTCCCCATTCAGTTTGCGCACCAGCCAGGAGTATCGTGTGTCATCAAACGGGACCTGCGGTCAATCGCAGGCATTTCCTGTTTAAGCTATGTTCATGTGATCGGCCCTAACCCCCAATTATGACGGCCTTTTAATGTTCAGTGCTTAGTGTAAAGTCAACATCTCCTAGCCTCGTTCTCCTTGCGTGAGTACTGGGCGATAATTTCAACCAGGAAATTAACCCTATTGATAATACCATAGTGGCATCATTTCAGCTCTCGAGATAACCAGTAAAGTCGGCTTGACGAATGATATCAATTTAACGCTGGTAATACTGATGCGGAGGCTGGCCTGCGGATAAATGAAGCCGAGACACAGCTCACTCCAGAGTTATTTATAGGTAAAT